CCAAAAATTTACAAAACCATCAATTCGGAACAATTTTAACACAATGGCAAACAAAATGGATTTTTTATTGTTACACATATTTTGTTTCACTTTATATCTTGATATAATACTGAGAGCAAAGTACTCGTTTTAATTGAAAGTGTTTTTTTTTTTCAACTGGCCTGCCAAACATCATTGACACTTGTCAAGTAGTTATTTCCTGTCAAGTCATGAGATAAATGCAGGTCACGAGAAACATTGGGATCTCGTGACATTCATAATATTAGTGGCATGTAYCGTGACTTTTACTCATGTCGATATTGAAGATTTAACATAACATGTTTGCCTGATTCTAACTAATTTTTTTTGGAGTTTATAAATGGCCTAGTTCAGATTCTAAAATAAATGTAACTATCAAACTATAGCATTTATTCTTTCGTCATAGTGACGCTAATGACAAGTGAACTATCGGGAWCAAAAACATAATAGACAAAAACTGTCAGGTTTTAATGTGAAATTRAACTTATCACTAATTGCATCGGGCTTTGAGCATGTGCAGAGTATTCAATTACGCTCCTCCCATGAACAGTTTGAGCGGGAGATTCAACTTATAAGCTAGATGATCGTTGTGGTAGAAGTAMTATATTATTTTTTGGTCTCTGAAACTAAACGTTATCTTGAATGATGGCGATGTATTACGTAGTAGAATTCCCATTGGAGGATGAGAAATCGAGAGGCCCGCATATTGTGATGGAGAACAAAGTACAAGTAGAAGAAAATTGTACAARCGTGCTGTGGAGTGTTGTTGATGACAATGGAGAAATCAAAGACATATAYTTTGAAGCCAATCAGCTTAAGAAAGGATCAAAAAAAGAGTGCAGCGAATTTCTAGATCGGTTAAAAAAATCAAGGGAAAATGCTGACGTTATTAACAAGGCAGAAAGAAGCCGAAAGAAACTGCAAGACTATGACGAAATTGACCTAGAAATGCCCTGCATTGCACAACCACCGGCACCTAAAAAGAAGAAAACTGGCATCACAAATGCAACTTACAGCTCTAGTGTCGACTCTAGTGAGTCTGATGAAGAAGATGGCAATTCATTCCTTGCAAAATTTCTCTCTCTTTACAGCCAATGGACCCCCATTACCGGTTTTTATCAATTCAGGTATGTAAGATATTTTATATGTTAAATACAACTCACAATTTGCGAAATATCACTTTTTAGAAACAAAATATGGAACAAAATTTTTGTAAAGCTACGTTTATTTTACTTTTTCTTACTTATTAACGCACAAATGTAGTTTTTAATTCCTGTTGTACTTGTTCTTTCTGCAGCAAGTC